TCATCTTTCTTCCTTCTCTTTCTTCTTCTCCTTCTTCTCCCTTCATCTCATTCTCTCTCTTCTTTCTTCTTCTTCTTCTTCTTCACTTTCTCTTCTTTTTCTTCTCCGCTCTCTTCCTCCCTTTTCTTCTTCTTTCCCTTCATCCTCCCTGTTCTTTTCTTCTTCCTTCTCTCTTCTTCTTCTTCTTCTCTTCTTGCTTTGCTTTTCTTCATTCTCTTGTCCTCTTCTTTCTTTTCCTTTATTCCCCTTCATCTCTTCTCCACCTCTCTTCTTCTTTCCCTTCTTCTTCTTCTCTTCTTCTTCTCTTCTTCTTCTTCTTCTTCATCTCTTTCCCTTCTTTCATCTTTCTTCTTCTCCCCTTCTCTCTTCTTCTCCCTCTCTTCATCTCTTTTCTTCATCTCTCTTGTCATCTTTCCTTCTTTATCTCTTCATCCTTCTCTTTATTTCTTCTTCTTCTTCTTCTTCTTCTTCTTCCCTTCTTCCTCTCTTTCTTCTTTTCTTCTCTTTTTCCTTCATCTCATTCTCTGTTCTCTTCTTTCTCTTCTTCTCCCTTCTCTTCATCTATCCATTTTCTTCATCTTCTCTTGTTCATTCTTTCTCCTTCTCTTTATTCTTTCCCTTCATCTCTATTCTCTTTATTTTCTTCCCTTCTTCTTCTCTTCTTCTCTTCTTCTCTCCACTTTTCTTCATCTCTCTTGTTCTCTTTTCTTGCATCTCTTTATCTCCCCTTCATCTCATTCTCTCTTCTTCTCTTCTTCTCCCTTCTCTTCATCTCTCCACTTCTTCTTCCATTCTCTCTTCATCTTTCTTTTCTCTTTATCTCTTTCTCATCCTCCTTTCATTCTCTTTTCTTCTTTTTCTTCTTCTTCTTCTTCTTCTTCTTCTTCATTCTTCTTCCTTCTCTCTTCTCCCCTCTTTTTCTTCTCTCCTATCTCCCTTCATTCTCATTCTTCTCTTTCTTCTCTTCTTCTCCTTCTTTCATCTCTCCACTTTTCTTCATCTCTTTTCATCTTTCTCTTCTTCTTTATCTCCCTTCATCTCATTTCTCCTTCTCTTCTTCTCCCGTCTCTTCATCTCTCCACTTTTCTTCATTCTCTTGTCATCTTTCTGCTTCTTTTATCTCCCTTTGCTTCATCTCATTCTCTCTTCTTCTTCTCCTTCTCTTCATCTTCTCCACTTTTCTTCATCTCTCTTTGTCATCTTTCTGCTTCTCTTTCCTTTCCCATCTTTTCCTTCATCTCTCCCTTCCTCTTTTCTCTCTTTTTTTATCTCTCTTTGCTTTCCTTCATCCATTTCCTTCTCTCTTCTTCTTTCTCTCTCTGTCATCCTTCTTTATTCTTTCTTCTTCTTCTTCATCTTCTTCTTCTTTCTTCTCCCTTTTCTTCATTTCTCCCACTCCTTCTTCTTTCCCTCTTGTCGCATTTTTTGCATCCTTTCTCCTCCCCTTCCTCTTTTCTTGTTTTTCTCTTCTTCTTTTGCTTTCCTTCATCTTTCCCTTCTCTTCTTCTTCTTTCTTCTCATCTTTCTGTTTCTCTTTATTCTTTCTTCTTCTTCTTCTTCTTCTTCTTCTCCCTTCTTCTCCTTCTCTTCATCTCTCCACTTTTCTTCATCTCCACTTGTTCATTTTCTTGTCCCTCTCTTTTATCCCCTTCATCTCATTCTCTCTTTCCTTCTTCTTCTCCCTCTCTTCATCTCTCCACTTCTCTTCATCTCTCTCTCTCATCTTTCTGCATTCTTTATTCCCTTCATCTTCTTCTCTCTTCTTCTTCTTCTTCTCCCTTTTCTTCATTTTCCACTTCTCTTCATCTCTCTTGTCCCGTCTTTTCTACTTCTTTTCTTCTCTCCCTTCATCTTTCTTCTTTTGCTTCTTCTTCTTCTTTCCTTCTTCTTCATTCCTTCTCTTCTTCATCTCTCTTTGTCATCTTCTGTTTTCTTCTTCATCTCATTCTTCTTCTTCTTCTTCTTCTTCCGTTCTTCATCTCTTCTTTTCTTCATCTCTCCACCTCTTTCTTCTCTTTATCTCCCTTTCTCATTCTCTCCCGCCTCTCTTTTTCTTGTTTTCTTCTTCATCTCTCTCTTTTTCTTCATCTCCCTTCATCTCCTTCTTCTTCTTTATCTCCCCTTCATCTCATTCTTTCTTCTTCTTCTTCTTCTCTCTTCTTCTTCTTCTTTCCATCTTTTCTTCATCTCTTTCTTATCCCGTCCCGCTTCTCATTTCTCTGATCTTTCTCTCCTTCTCTCTCCTTCTTCTCTTCATCTTTCCTCTTCTTCTTTCTTCATCTCTCCACTTGTCACCTTTCTGTTTCTCTTTATCTCCTTTCATCTCATTTTCTCTTTTGCTTCTCTTCTTCTCCCCTTCTCTTCATCTCTTCCTTTTCTTCATCATCTCTTTTCATCTTTCTGCTTCTTCTTTATCTCCTTCATCTCATTCTCTCCTTCTTCTTCTTCTCCTCATCTCTCCTTTTCTTCATCTCTCTTGTCATCTTTCTGTTCTCTTTATCTCCCTTCATCTCATTCTCTCCTCCCTCTTCTTCTCCCTTCTCTTCATCTCTCCACTTTTCTTCATCTCTCTTGTCATCTTTTCTGCTTCTCTTTATCTCCTTCATCTCATTCTCTCTTCTCTTCTTCTCCCTTCTCTTCATCTCACTTTTTCTTTCATCTCTCTTGTCATCTTTCTTTCTGTTTCTCTTTTATCTCCCTTCATCTTCATTCTCCTTCTTCTTCTTCTCCCTTCTCTTCATCTCTCTCCACTTTTCTTCTTCTCTCTTGTCACCTCTCTGTTTGCTTTTCCTTATATCTCATTCTCTTCGTCTTCTTCTCGTCTCTTTATCTTCCACTTTCTTCTTCTCTCTTGTCATCTTTCTCTTCATCTATCCCTTTCATCTTCTCTCCTTCTCTTCTTTCCCGTCTCTTCATCTGCACTTCTCTTCATCTCCCTTCATCTCATTCTCTTTGCTTCTCTCTTCTCCCTTCTCTTCTTCTCCATCTCTTCCTTCTTTTCTTCATCTCTCTTGTCATCTTTCTGTTTCTCTTTATCTCCCTTCATCTCATTTCTTCTTCTTCTCTTCTTCTTCTTTTCTCTCTTCATCTCTCCACCTTTTCTTCATCTCTCTTGTCATCTTTCTGCTTCCTTCTTCTCCCTTTCATCTCATTCTCTCCCCCCCTCTTCTTTTCTTCTTTTCATCTATCCACTTTTCTTCATCTCTCTTGTCATCTTTCTCTTTCTTCTTTCCTCTCCCTTCATCTCATTCTCTCTTCTTCTCTTCTTCTCTTCGTCTCTTCATCTCTCCACTTTTCTTCATCTCTCTTGTCATCTTTCTGCATCTCTTTATCTCCTTCATCTCATTCTCTGTGCTTCTCTTCTTCTCCCCCTTTTCATCTTTCACTTTTCTTCATCTCTCTTTATCATCTTTTCTGCTTCTCTTTATCTCCCTTCATCTCATTCTCTCTGCTTCACTTCTTCTCCCTTCTCTTCATCTATCCACTTTTCTTCATCTCTCTTGTCATCTTTATGCATCTCTTTATCTCCCTTCATCTCAATCTCTGTGCTTCTCTTCTTCTCCCTTCTCTTCATCTATCCACTTTTCTTCATCTCTCTTGTCACCTCTCTGTTTCTCTTTATCTCGCTTCATCTCATTATCTCTGCTTCACTTCTTCTGCCGTCTCTTCATCTCTCCACTTTTCTTCATCTCTCTTGTCACCTCTCTGCTTGTCTTTATCTCCCTTCGTCTCATTCTCTCCGCTTCTCTTCTTCTCCCGTCTCTTCATCTATCCACTTTTCTTCATCTCTCTTGTCACCTCTCTGTTTCTCTTTATCTCGCTTCATCTCATTCTCTCTGCTTCACTTCTTCTCCCGTCTCTTCATCTCTCCACTTTTCTTCATCTCTCTTGTCATCTTTCTGCATCTCTTTATCTCCCTTCATCTCATTCTCTGTGCTTCTCTTCTTCTCCCTTCTCTTCATCTATCCACTTTTCTTCATCTCTCTTGTCATCTTTCTGCATCTCTTTATCTCCCTTCATCTCATTCTCTGTGCTTCTCTTCTTCTCCCTTCTCTTCATCTATCCACTTTTCTTCATCTCTCTTGTCATCTTTCTGCTTCACTTTATCTCCCTTCATCTCATTCTCTCCGCTTCTCTTCTTCTCCCGTCTCTTCATCTCTCCACTTTTCTTCATCTCTCTTGTCACCTCTCTGCTTCTCTTTATCTCCCTTCATCTCATTCTCTCTGCTTCTCTGCTTCTCCCGTCTCTTCATCTCACACACACATATATAGAGGCATAGAAAATGAAATGGTGAGAAAGTGAAAGTTCGTTGAACTTTCAGCTGTGGCCTTGATTTGTGAAAGTGGAAGAAATGAATTCAGACATATCTTTTCAAGTGACGTTAGTCGATACGTCACCTTGTGTGTCTTATTAGTCTTACAAGTGTGTGTCTAGTAATTATCAAGTCCCACCATATTTTGCTGCAGACGTCAGGATGTTCTCCTGGGCCTATTCTGTTAGTGGCGAAAATAGATATATACAGTGGAGTTCATTACCTTCAGTTACGTATTAATACCCTTCGGAAAGGTATGAATGCATCTCTTCCCACAGCTATGGATAAATAGTAGAACAAACTGGGTCTTACAGACTTAGGGAGCGACAGTTGTAGCAGAACAACAACGCTGTATTCAAAACCTGAGAATGGTTGTTTGGGGGGGGTCTTGTGGCGCGCTCTGTATTCGGTTCTTCTGAAAAGTGTGGTTGGTTCTACACAAAACTTCACCACTATAATCAAATGATTTGGGCAGTTAGTCTGGCTGTTTGGTTCTAACAACTGAAATGCTGGACCCTTATACGTCGAAAAACGACGGGAGAGTCCTTTATATATTTATATTGTCATCTTTCTGCAATGTTTATCTTACCTACTGCATTTTCTTTTTGCCTTATGAAGAAAAAGAAGAAGGATCCACTAGGAGGAGATCTTAGGGGAGAAGTTGTTGGAAGAAGAAGAAGAAGAATCTCATTCTCTCTGCTTCAGGTAGAGGAGTCTCTTCAGAAGAAAGAGAAGGAAAAAGAAGAAGAAGGAGGAGAAAGGGGAACAGAAGAAGAAAATCTCATTCTCTCTCCGCACTTTTCTCTTCTCCTGTCTCTTCAGAAGGTCCAGAAGAAGAAGTTCATCTCTCTTTGAAGAAGAAGTTTCTTTATGGAGGAGAGATCTCAGAAGAAGAAGTAGTAGTAGTAGAAGAAGAAGAAGAAGGAGGAGAAGAGAAGAACTCCTCTTGTCAAGAAGAAGAAGAAGGAGGAGGATCTCCCTTCATCTCAAGAAGGAGAAGGAGAAGAAGGAGGAGGATCTAGATCCAGAAGAAGAAGAAGAAGTAGTGTGGTAGTCTGTTTCTCTAGAAGAAGAAGAAGAAGCTTCACTTTGTTTTCCTTCTATAGAAAAATGCAGTATCATTGTTCTTACACAGAAACTAGCAGATCTAAAACTGCCACAAATAATTTTAGGGGAATGATATTAAAAACTAAACTGACGTCGTCTCAAATTGACCCTTCCAAGTTGTCAGCTGAAAGGTATCGAAATGTACTTCGGGAGATTCCAAAATAAATACAGAGGAAATAAGTGTGGTATGACTCCTTGGAATTATCATGGCGTGAACTTGCTGTAAAGGTCTGAACTGTTGAAACTAAAGAATGAAACGCCGATCTAAACATTTGGCAGAGAAATAGCGATAGAGTAGACATGCTTTCAACGTCGCGTTTTTTCTTCATAAACGCAGATTATGAGGATAAGTAGGATAGATAATGATTGATCCTATACTTGAAGAGGTCCTGTCAATTCATCGTCTCCACTTTTTAATGTCATCTCTCTTTGGGAAGAAGGTGTTTGAATGGAATTTCCTTCTTATCAAAGGAATACGAAAGGAATGAAGATGATTTGATACTGTTCATTGGCGGATCCCCTTTTTTTCAAGGTCTGAACTAAGTGGGACGAAAGAATATAGCTCGTCTGAACATTTGCTATGGAGAAAACGATAGAGTAGAGATAGGCTTGCAATATTTCATCTGTGAGAAAGGGGCCATAGAGTTAGCAATAATCAATCATCCACAAGGCAACGTAAACGCTTGTGTACCCTGTCATGGCTGTAAAGGGAGATACAGCTGCAATACTACATTTTGGGTCTGGTTTGACACTTATAAAAAGAAGGCATGCCAGAAGGAGTCCGTTATTTAATGGACAAGGAGAACCGATCATTTTTCCAGCATCCTAAGCGAAGGATCTTATATATATGTTCCACTTGAAATCTGGAGGTGAAATTGAGACCCAACACACGGGAGCTTCTTTATGAGTACAACGCTCATAGCTAGAGATCAACTCAAGTTCTATTCCGTGGGTATGTCAATAACTTGCGTAAACAATTTTAAACTCTATCAAGGCTGGAAGATGAGGTCTACGCAGCTCCGGCCCAGATATAGCAGTGATACTCCAGTTTTATGTCTAATGTAACTCTTGTAAAAAAGGAGGGTGACAGAAGGAATCAGATACTTGCAAGAACAATAGAATAAACCGACCATTTTTGCAGAACCTTCAGCAAGTGATTGTATATATGAACCCCACTTGGAGTCTACAGCAATGGTTCCCAACCGACTTTGGATCATGCCCCACCTTGGTATTTCTAAAATTCTAGTGCCCCTCCCCTTAGTAATATTTAATTCTTACATGTATGCCAATTACACATGCACTTAAATATGCACAAAATATTTTCATGTATGCATACTCTATATGCATCGTATGTATTAACATTAACACTCTTATCTAGACTCACTTGAAAACAATTCACTGTTAATAACTCATTCTCAAATTGCCCCCTTATTCTGTTTTTATAATAAGCCGAAGTGTGCACATCCTATGCAGGCCCCACCAAGGGATTACCATGCCTTACCAGTTGGGCATGCGCCCTATGTTGGGAATCATTGCTCTAAAGGATACATATTGTATAAAATCTTTGCTGTTCTTATTGAATGTGCTGTAAATGGATGCATTTAGATATTTCAACAATAAAATGGTGGGACCTAGATGCCAATCTTGTAGTCTGCTTAAATTCATGTATTTAGGGTAGCAAGGGAAAATGTTCGTCACGTAGAAAACGATTCATGCTGTTGGTATAATAAGCCGAAGGTTGCACATCCTATGCATGCCTAACCAAAATATTACCATGCCCCACCGGTGGGGCATGTCCCCACCACCATATTGGGAATCATTGGTCTAGAAAGAAACTTAAATCCAACTTAATTTCAAAACATGAAGTCTCACTGAGAGAAAAACAGGCAACATGTGAGGACAAAATATCAGCGTCTTAATGATGAAACGATACGAACTCGTTTTATGTAATAAAAGTTACAAGTCATTTATTTTCTGCAGGAGATGTCCGCTGCAAAACTCCATTCATCATAATTCGTGGAAGCCCGCCAGTAAAATAAATAAAGAAACCGAGAAATTATGGAATGAACTGCGCAGCGCGCGCGTGGCTGGGAACACTAAATAATTACAGTTTCTTTAAACAGACTTTTTGATTGAAAAAAAAAAAACCATTTATTAAACTAAACTTAAAGAATAAGAGAAATCGGCTGCAGAAAAAACAAAATAGATAAAAAGATAATGCCTTTGAAATTGTTGTCTTTTTTAAAGTATAATTTGATGTTTTCCCTTGTTGCGCGCTGGTGTGTCTCCTGAAATGGCCAGGATCAACATGGCAGACTCGAAGTATGAGCCCACCTAAAAGATATGTAATTAAACAAGAACCGATATATATGTATAAATAAATGAATATGTATTAACAACAAAAGGGGTAAAAGCGACAAAGTTGATAATATGTGTAACAAATGAATGTGGAAACATTTTGGTTCAAAGTATGTGAAGTGAGTAAATGTGCATACGTATGCGTGTGCATATTGTTCTTGTGTTTCCTATGATGGGAAAAACGCAATCTTCCGCGAGAGATTTACATGGTTTTCATATAAACGGACAAGTAAGAAGCGAGGGATAAAAAATTATCGGAGAGTATTTATAGTGTTCGAGAACGTCTCCTGGGAGCAGTTTCGAAAATTAAAAGGAAATAACCCGACACTCTTTTGAATGATCCGGTCGATTCAAAAGAATCTTTATATGAGAATTACTGATTGACTGAAAATCAAGAGTCGACTAATACACGGGAAAGACACACACACATACACACACACACACACACACACGCGTGCGCGCGCACGCAAGAGCTGAAAGAAAAAATACTGGTTTGGAATGTGTTGTCAGGAAAGAAGCTACGTAAGAGCTAGAGAAAGAGATGGGGAGAAAAACGAAGAAAAAAGAAAGGAAGAGAGACTTGGAGAATGAGAGGGGAAGGAAAAAGGTGAGTGAGGGAGTGATTGACACGCGTGAGCGAAAGAAAGAAAGCTTGTACGTGTGTTTGGACTGGACGGGTGCATTCGCGTCTGCAGTAGCGTTTGCGCCTGCGCAAAATTCTCGATCCCTTACACCGCTATCGAGAGCGTAAGATGATATCAT